TTTTCCTTGTGTGACATGAAGTTAAATGTGTTCGATGCTCTTCAGCATGTCTGGTTTTCGTTGTTAACTTCATTCTCACTTAATAATGTGCCGTTTCTTGAATCGACCAAGATTTAGATGTTGGATGACGAAGCGGAAGACAATTATCCTTTCGTAATACAGTCTAATTATCATTGAACTCGTGTCCAGGATTATTGCGTAAACGTTTCTTTGGTTAATATTTTGTCCTCGTTTAATTGATTTTGAATTCGAATCATGTGTCTATTAGTATGTTGACATCATCTGCTTCTTTCTGCAGAGTTTGGTGGTGATATTTTTAAAACGACTACTGACATACCTACAAAAACTAGGTGTTCTCACTTCACTGACCTGGATTTGTTTTAAAGTAGGATGGTGTAACAAAAAGATTATTAAAACAATGGAAGTTTCAGGAAGCGTGGAACCAACGTCACTTCGAATTCCTCTACATCTATTGCTAACCCCGGTAGTTAAATAATATCCCTATAATGCATGAAAACGACTTTGTTTTTTTCTTTTGCAACTTCAGTATCTCTTTACATCAAAACCCTTTCTTCCCAAACATTTGGTGTATTTTTTTTAAAAGGGTTTTCGATATTCAAAGGCATCAAATTTCCTAAATGCTAGACTCTATTTATCTATGAGACATGAAATTTCACGATTGCGAAATTCCATTTCCTTGTATGATATAATGTATATATTCAATTTGTTAGTTCCGCTGTCAATACCGCGGTTCTCATATTGAGAACGCACAAAATGTATATTTGTTTAGACTTTCAAACTTCATCGCTTATTGTTTACACTTATTTCTTATAATCTGTATCAGGACTACAACTTCAGTTACATATGATATTCTCGAACTTCCGATCGGTGTTTTCAGCAATAATCGCTAATTATTTATGTGTCATCTCACTACCAGTTTTTTACTCTGTGTTTAAAAAAGAAACATCTTGCTAGCAAATAATTCTACAACAATTTTTCATCATCAACGACTACAAAACTTTCTTAGAAAAATTCCATCATCGTCAAGGCTTTCAGTGATACTGCTAAAGGTACTGTACCTACCCAATAGGCTGTACATAAGACAATGACTGCGGCACAAAACAAATTTGATTTTATATCAAATATAAACTGAATAATAAATTAATTTCTATGAATAAATCATAAGTTCATTTGTCCTCTTTAATGTTAATTATATAACCGGGTAAACGATTTTTTTACTTTACGTTTCTAAATGTAAAGTATATCTCGAAATAAGCTAGTCATATGTTAACACCTAGAAAAGCGGACATAATTAATTTCGCTTCCTAAAATACCACCCAGACAAGCCCTTAATAAACCTAATTATACTGGCACGTGATTAAGTATATGGGTATTAGAACCACCATTATGTTAGTCTACCGTCGCCATTGATACATCAAAATGGTGGTTTTTTTTGTGATGTAAAACGTGACCAATATACCCCTTTGATACCAAATGTTATATATCCTAGGGAGCATGTACCATTGTTAATGACAAACCGTCTTCTAACATTATCTACCTCTAGAAACATTCATCGAGTATCGATGGTTTAAGTTCGTTATTGAATTAAATGCCCTGTGCATATGGCTACCCCCGTGTTAGTACGTCTGGAGGAGTTGGTTAAACCTGCAAGGGGATATGGACAGTTTTCGAAAGGGAAATGCCGTGTACTTGATCTAACCTTTCATGAATAATTATGGCTCTCCCATGACGAGTATGTCTTTCTTCGTGTCTACGAATTTGTATGAGAGACAACATCATTATTCTGTCTGCTGTTACCCTTGAGGGTTGGGATTGCAGTTTCCTGCATAAGACCTTCGACGCATAAAGCTTGGTGCTCATATACTGGACATGCACTATAGATATACCATAACAGTCAAACATTTGGCTCAAATGACTCCCTATTGTAAGAAGCTGCGTGTATGTTTGATTCAGCTTTCATTTTGATAAATTGATTATATCTTCTACATTTGAATTTATAGGAAAAACTGCCAATTCATAATGGTTTTAAGCAATGCTGTAGGAGGAGACTGTAGTGATCCAATTTACTAGTATAGTTATTAGCACGTGACAATTGAAGTAAGCATAGGAACGTCTCTGGGAATGCTGACTACGGTGATGTCCTTCTAACTGGCATAGATATCATCGCGTGCCTTACTGTTGAAATCAAAGTCTTACACTTCTAAATTCTGGGTTACGTGTTTCTTATACTACTGGCAAACTGGTTACACGCTTCTTATACTACTGACAAACTGGTTACACGTTTCTTATGTTACTGACAATCTGGTTACACGTTTCTTATGCTACTGACAAACTGGTTACACGCTTCTTATACTACTGAAAAACTGGTTACACGCTTCTTATACTACTGACAAACTGGTTACACGCTTCTTATACTACTGACAAACTGGTTACACCCTCCCTACGCTAATGGTTTCCCGACTTATGTTCGTAATAAACAATGGAAACCAAACGCTAATGTGCCTTTTAAAACTAATTACCACGTCACTCAGAAATCATCAGATCAAACACCTGAGAAGGTATAGCCACTTAACGGCGCCAAAATAGTACCTCAGTCAAGACAGGTTTGGGGTGTTGGCTACAGCTTATCCTGAATGTCGACGTCACGGAAATTTCGATTTCATTACGATAAAGTACAACGTTTTTATATTTAGTTTTGTATCGTCTACATAGTTGGAATGTTTTGTCATCTTTTATCCAAAAGGCGTATTTTATGCAAATGAATGTATCAGGCAAATTAGGACTTCTCTTTTCCTTTTTTGACAAATTGTCTATATCGTATAATATCTCAAAAATGCATGATTATAAAATCGCTGAAAATGCAAGACAAACAACAACGATAATGTGCAACTGTTTATTTCATTTTAAGTTAAATTGGGTTCATTTTTTCCAAAATACAATGTACTTCCTCCAAGGTCATCACGTCACGGTTGTCGACGAAAGACAAACAAAAATATCCAATGTATACAACAACATCTTTTGAAAAATATATCATAGCAAAATATTCCTTTATCAACAATCATTTACCTCTGGTCATCAATGACCAAGGAAACCTTTCCTTTAGGAGAATTACTAGTGTTAGCCATTTCTGTTCTTAAAGCTGCTGCAAGCGAACGAAAGACAAAACGGAAATGAGTTAGATTTTGAATTTTGATAGACTGAAGCAATTTCTTTTTCACATGAATGAAAATTTTTATGTGGCAATGGCGTGGGTCTGATAAATGCTTCTGATAACAAAACAGGATTTAGTTTCCGTTTACCTGAAAAAATACAAAAATTATAGACAATATTACTGTCACACCTCGGTATCTCAACATTTCATTACCATGGATCTCGACAACCCAAAATTCACCACCAGGAATCTCGACAATCCACACTTCAAGACTACGTATTTAAGATTTACAATCCATTATTCAGGTACTTCGTTTATCCACACGCCACTAGATCCATCGTAGATAATGTATTATCCAATACGTATCTCGACAATCTACACTTTATGACCCGGTATATCGACTTTCGATATTTCACTACTCAGCATCTCGATGACCTACACTCAAATAGCGGAAATAACGTAATCATGAATGGCCACGTCATCATGATCTGATGTAGGCACCTGACTTCTTCGGTATCTGACCAAGGCGTCCTCGCTTTAAGAGTGTAAACATTTTTTTACGATACACTGATGTTCATATAAACACTTTCCCGGCTCCCTATACGATCTCCCAGGTGTCAAACAAGTAACAAGATATGATATTTCACGATCAATAGATACAACAACAGAGCGCACTGACATTTTGAAATAATGTTCAGGAATAAAGGGTTTTATCAATACAGTTTGATGTACATGTTAATATTGAATAAGCTATTAGTTATAATATGAAAGAGTGGAAATTCGGAGTTAAAATTCAGTGGTTCTGATCAATCACGGGACCTGTTTAATTAACAGTTGCACACTTCTGTTTCTAATGTTCATTAAAACCCTTCAGGAACTGTGATTTACGTTTTCTATTACACATCCGATAGAAAGTATAACCGCGTTCTTCTCATGCTTTGGAAGTAAATTGAATTCAAATAAATTGGTCCTTTTTGTTGTTTATGGGCATCGGCAGGTCTTGCCTTCGGTGCCGGAGGTTTCCGTCTGAGTATTTCGTGGGACCACCTTCGGAGGTTACCTGTCAGAATTGACGTTGGATATACGTCACTCACTTTATGTATTAGAGAAATTATACTATAAAATCTGTACAAATTTGGTATGAATCCTTAACTAAATTGCTGGATTGTTCCGATTTTACTAGCTACGGCACTGTTGTTAAATTGTAGCTGTTTGGACATGTTTGACGACGATAACTAAAGGAAATCTACCGAGTGGGAATTTCTGATGCTATTTGGTATAAAGCACTCTTAAACGTCAAATATTTAATTTATCGACGAAGATTATAAAGATTCTTAACTTTTTAATTGAGGACAATTTTATATATGGATACGGTATCCTTTATGAATAATTTTGCTTGCATATTTTGTTTTTTTTATCACTAATTTACAACCATATATATTCGCGTATATAACCTATGAACTGTCAAACAGGATAGAACATTTTCGTTCTGGTCACATGCAAAATAATACTGTTATGCTCTCATGTGCTTAACTTCCCCACCTCTGTGGTTTTAAGGACTTTTTCCTAGGTAACAGGTCTGTAATTTTCTAGATTGAATCCGTCTGCAGTTTCTATACCTAAGTCTGTTTTCTTTACATGCACGTGAATTAAACTAAGTACCATATCTTCACTTACTGCAGAATCCCTGCTTATTTGTTCAGGAATCACTGGCTGATGTTTTACACAACCTGGTCCAGTTTATATCTATTAAACCACTTCTTAGTTTAAATACATGCATGTTAGTCAATAAAGAGTCATAGTATTAATCTCTGTACCGTGGTACACTTCATTCCTTCAGCTTGTGCCACTCCGCGATCTGCTTCCGGGGGCAGTTGATGACTTCGCTCCAGTGATGCAGCTGCTGGCTGCTGGTTCTTGCACCGACTTCCAGGCGACCAATCACTTCGTTCTTAGTGACTCGGTCCCAGTCGAGCACCAGAAACTCCAGACTGATATTCTGTAGCCCTTCATTATATGGAACGTCGAACAGAAAGGACTCGTTGAACACGGGGTTCAGTGTTCGCTTTTTCACGTGCGTCTTCTTTTTAGCAATTCTTTGGCCATTGTAGAGAAGGTATATCTTCACGTAGGGATCTATAACACACGAAAGATAATTCTTCACTATAGTCTGGATGTATAACATTATTAATTATAGTTTTGACTTATGCAAGAAAAAGACACTATGCAATAAAATAGTCACCGTAATATACATGGAACACCTGAAGTAACATGGAACACCTGAAGTAACATGGAACACCTGAAGTGGAACACCTGAAGTAACATGGAACACCTGAAGTGGAACACCCGAAGTAACATGGAACACCTGAAGTAACATGGAACACCTGAGGTTACATGTAACACCTGAAGTAACATGGAACACCTGAAGTAACATGGAACACCTGAAGTTACATGGAACGCCTGAAGTAACATGGAACACCTGAAGTTACATGGAACACCTGAAGTGGAACACCTGAAGTAACATGGAACACCTGAAGTGGAACACCTGAAGTAACATGGAACACCTGAAGTAACATGGAACACCTGAAGTAACATGTAACACCTGAAGTAACATGGAACACCTGAAGTAACATGGAACACCTGAAGTTACATGGAACACCTGAAGTGGAACACCTGAAGTTACATGGAACACCTGAAGTGGAACACCTGAAGTAACATGGAACACCTGAAGTAACATGTAACACCTGAAGTTACATGGAACACCTGAAGTTACATGGAACACCTGAAGTAACATGGAACACCTGAAGTTACATGTAACACCTGAAGTAACATGGAACACCTGAAGTAACATGGAACACCTGAAGTTACATGGAACACCTGAAGTGGAACACCTGAAGTAACATGGAACACCTGAAGTGGAACACCTGAAGTTACATGGAACACCTGAAGTGGAACACCTGAAGTAACATGGAACACCTGAAGTAACATGTAACACCTGAAGTTACATGGAACACCTGAAGTTACATGGAACACCTGAAGTAACATGGAACACCTGAAGTTACATGGAACACCTGAAGTTACATGGGGATGGAACGAATGAGACGATCGTGAACATGCAGATCCATGTAAACGAAGCGCAGCACTATAAATCAATATATTTCAATGAACAGTTAGCATGGCAACACACGTCAAGTAGACAAGTCCCCCGGGAACAACCTAATGGTAAACAGCTACTTCTTAATTAGCAGGATGTCCATCTATTTTTATCTTTCACAGACAGCTAGCAAGTCATGCGGCAATTTCGTGGGTATTAGAAGCTCTTTATAGCGTTAGTTGCAGTGAGATTGCAGGTCACGATATCACTGGTTTGATGATATGACTGATGCACTTGTATAAGTCCTTTTGCACTATAGTGAAATATTCTATTAACCCAGTGTCTTGATCAATGTTTATCATAAAAACTTTAGAATACAACAAAGGCATGACAACAAAATTATATTCAAAACTCAAATTTAACGTAACTAGGGCAAAATATGAGCAAAAGAAATTCAAACGAAGGCACTCGAAAAAGCATAAAAAGGAAAAGTGTTTCGGAAGAGTAAACGTCTTCTGTTTCATCAACGCCAACCGCAATATAATTTTCGGTCAATCCAGGCAAGTAATGTCAATAGAATACAAGCGCTTATAACACAACCAGTAGAAGATTTGATTGTGACGTTTCGACTACTACAAGGTCACCTTTATTAGACAAACGACCAGTATAATGCGTATTAGCGCTGACGCATGTAGTGTATTTACAGTCTTATCTTCTACTGGTTGTGTTATCAGAAATGCCATTCTACTGACATTACCAACATGAGTTCCAAAAATAGTAATGTCACGTTCCCAAATGAGAACACAGTAAGCAATAACAACAGGTGTTTTAACGAGCGTCAAACACGTACAGCTCCGTATCGCATAAGGGAACACAATATTTCCCAATCAAATCACTATGACGACCACGAAACTTCCCCCATCATTGTCACAAGCACTTCCTAAATCCTGAGTAATGAATTTGTCAATTACCGACATCTTGCATGAAAATCATGATATTGAGAACAATCTTTTGAGTAGCGAATCAGCTGCGACATGTAAACATTAGAGGTTTGGGATGCAGGAAAGTTGCTCTCCAGAAAAGGAAATTCACAAAAGGGAAATTGAAATCCTCACGTTTATCATATAGCTTGGCGGAGAGTTGTTGATTTTGTTGTAGGAAACGCTCGGGGTAAGCGAATGATGTAGAATATGTAGTGTCTAGAATTGTTTGAATTCTGGTGGATATACAATATGGCTATGATTAAAGATGTTCTTGTTATCTAAATACAAGACTCGGCACTATGTCTGAAAGTGAAAAGAAAGCACTTCGTTAGGTCTAAGACTTTGGTGACTAGTTTTGATAAGATCTTCGATAAAACCAGTTTCGTGAGAAGACAAAAACAAGGCAGCCAGATGAGGGGCACGGATTGCCAACCACACAGGTATGAAATTATTGAGGAGCTTATCAGAACAGGAAACAATGGTCTTGTCAATTGCTTTAATGTCATGTTTACATATCTTGAAACTGCCCTACCTAAAAATAACAAGACCATGTTCGTCGTAAATATTGAAGTATAAATACCCACCAGAATTGGAAATCATGGAAACAGGTGACACTTTCCATAAGCCGTTTACCTCGATTCTCGCTTACAACGAAACCAACAGTTTTTCTACCATATTGTGTTCATTCTATCTGTAGAAAATGGCATCCCTGTTTCTTAAACCTTTAATGTCTTCATGCCACAGTTGATTTGATATTCAATGGCTTGTTCACAATATCACTGAGTTCCTAGTAAATTGCCTGACAAGTACACCTACGTAGGTAAATTAAGACTCTGTTCATCACCAGGATATGCCAAAGAAATGTTCGGTAACCTAGTGACTTGTTAATATACCTAGGTGACATTACTTATTAATATTGACCAGGAATTATTTGTTGAGTGTCGTTCATTAAGTAGAAGACGTTCTCAGTTCCAGAACACTAAGTTTTATTTTCTTTGTATATTTTAATCGATATCTGTTTCATGTGTACTGGGTTTTAATTAAAATAAAACGATGGCAATTTGACATATAAATTTATGTCACACAGCCGTCGTTTCCATGCACAGTACGATATTTACTACATGCAAATTCATGACACACATTTTAACATGTTTGAAGTTAAACATGAATTTAAGTATCCTAACTATGCTTGTTATCTGACTAACAGAGACAATCAGATTGGTAATACGTCATATAGTCGCGACGGACGACAGTAAATACAATCCGAATGGGGACCAAATATTTATAGTTCTCTTTGTGTGTTCTAGGAATTAGATTGTCCGTATCCCCCGGGATGTCTCGTGGGTAATATAACTGTGTGGCATGCTTGTAGGCACACGCACTGCCACGGTGAATTCCGCGCGCATTGCTATATGCATCTCTGTATTTCACACGATGATTCCGAGCTCGCGATCGTTATAACATAGGTCTCTCTGCTGTCTCGTCATTTCCGAATCTTTACTATACGTATCTATTTGACTGACACAGGGAGATTCGGAGTTCCAAACATTTTTTCTTTGACTCTATGTTTGACACATTCCAAGGATTTTGTTTCAACACTGACATTACGGGTTCCGACCTCATGGTTCCATGAACAAGTACTTTTCTCCTCGTACTTCAATGGCTGAAACTGTAAAGTCTGCACGTGTGACGTCCCGGTTACTGAACTCTTTCCTCCACGCGTTATTTAGTTTTATCTAAAGAATACTCCAGGGGATTCTCTGGTTATACTCCGTTTGCCTCCATCAATGACAGTATGACACTCCTCTGACAGCCCCCGATATCTAATTTGTGTCAATCAATGAACCGAAGAGGTAGATTGTAGTTTGTTCATCCTAATTATTGACATGGATAAGATGTTAAGTTCCGGAATGGTAATTAAACAATCAAAGAATGAAAAGGGATTTTATTATAGAATAATGAGGTTTCTAATGAGAGGTATAGTGTTTGATGTGTAAACAAAAAAGTCGTCCTATGGTTCTTATCGTGTCTGTAATAGATATATATGGAACAGGTATGTAAATAGGGAACAAAAGCAGCTACGTCATCGCTGTGTAGTTTTTTTTGTTTTTGTTTTTTTTTAAATACATTAGCAGTCAAGACATGTTATCAAGAATACTATCCAGAAAACAAACTATCAAAAGGTTTCAGGATCCGGTGATTTATCCGTCACGTAATTCTATCAGCTTTTGGCTGGTAACAGTGACCACGCGATACAATATTTACTTAGTATGATCTAGACTTATATCATATAATCGATAGTTCTTACCTATTACCTTATATGGTACCTGTTTTAATGGTCGTGAATCATTGATATCATGTAATATTATGTCTTATTTCAATTTTATAGTCACATTAATATGGAATGCACTCAGTGGAATGTATTGTATCTAATTCAGTAAAGATAAATTTGTTGATACGATCAATATCTTAACACGTATTATATATAATGCTGGAATATTTTCAGTAGATAAGGGAGATATTTGTATAAAACTGGTGAGATATTCCAATCTCATGCAGGAAGCAGTCTACAATTAATTGTAATATGAAACAGATTATGATACGATAAATTCCTAATAAGGATTTAGTGGCGATAAAAATTGTTTGATGAGGAGATGTTGTGGTAATCTAGTACTTAATAAATTAAGTTTAAAATGTGTTCCTTTTAATGGCTGTCTATTGATCATACAGCTGATACATAGATCTAAGTGTTGAACCCACACCCATATAGCACACTCTCTGACGAAGAAAGCAACGCCTTCATACATACGGCGCGTTTCAAAATGTTATACGTATTGAATGTATCACATACACACTACGGTCAGTGTTGATCATGTTATATCAGAATCTTCCGTAGTATCGATCCCATCAAGTGACTGATGGCGGTGCAGCACCGCGCATGCGTGTACACCAGACGGTATTCACAAACTTACAAGACCATTTCCCTTCAGACTTTCACTGTTAATCGAGCGGTCTTGATCGATTTTACCGCGGTTAAAATTTACTGATGTAGATATTGTTCTTATAGAAAATGATATAAATCCACAGTGTCCGAATCTATTTTTTCTTGCTTGTAGATGATAGTGGAATCATTCTTTGAAAAGACGAAAAGAATAGAAAACAAAAAAGAGATTGTGAAATGTGACCTACAGTTCTCACCTGACAGCCCCGTGATATCCATCTTTGGGAGGTTTCTGGCTTTCAGCACAACCACGGTGAGACGGTTGGCAGCGGGCTGATAACACAGGGAAACCAGAAGTTCCCCTCGGCCCTGCATCTGAAACTGGAGAAAAAAAAGGGACTTAAGAGAAGTAAAGAACAAATGTGGCAATACTTGGTGGATGCTGTATGTGTTAATATGTTTGTCAGCGGTATTGTATGTGAAAATGAAATAAAAGTTTGTCTATAACATTGATATCACTAAAAGGATTTAAAATGTATCTCCATGATTCTTAAGATACCATGACGTCAATACCTAAAGGCCATATTGTACACAAAAATAACAGTATATAGTATAGCGTCAATACCTAAAGCTAGGCCATATTGTCAATAAACATGACATTATATAGTATAGCGTCAATACCTAAAGCCAAACCATATTATCAACAAAAATGACAGTATATAGTATAGTATAGCATATTGTCAACAAACATGACAGTATATAATACCAATACCTAAAGCTAGGCCATATTGTCAATAAACATGACATTATATAGTATAGCGTCAATACCTATAGCCAAACCATATTATCAATAAACATGACAGTATATAGTATAGCGTCAATACCTAAAGCCAGGCCATATTGTCAACAAACATGACAGTATATAGTGTAGCGTCAATACCTAAAGCTATGCCATATTGTCAACAAACATGACAGTATATAGTATAGCGACAATACCTAAAGCCAGGCCATATTGTCAACAAACATGACAGTATATAGTAGAGCGACAATACCTAAAGCCAGGCCATATTGTCAATAAACATGACTGTTTATAGTATAGCGACAATAACTAAAGCCAGGCCATACTGTCGACAAACATGACAGTATATAGTATAGCGACAATACCTAAAGCCAGGCCATATTGTCAACAAACATGACAGTATATAGTATAGCGACAATACCTAAAGCCAGGCCATATTGTCAACAAACATGACAGTATATAGTATAGCGACAATACCTAAAGCCAGGCCATATTGTCAACAAACATGACAGTATATAGTAGAGCGACAATACCTAAAGCCAGGCCATATTGTCAATACACCTCCAATAAAAAGAATAATTCAATCACTAGCGTCAACATACAAGGACAACATTTAAACCTTAACGACAAATCACAAGGATAATAAATATAAGAGGTATGTATTAACGGAGACAGAAATAAGCTTGTCGTGACGACATTTTTCGTTAAGATACCCAGGACGTTACAAGTAGAGCGAAAAATAACCCCATAACATTAGTATGTGTGCATTCATCGGCTGTACATTGTATGGACTCCACGAACGATTGACATCCTCCCGTGTTTGGAACTTGATGCTAAACTGCCGGGAGAATGGAATGAAATATTAAAAGTCTTATTCACACATTAGAATCTATTCTAAACCTCTGGGCACACATCATAGATCGTGATGAAAAATGTCTGCCTTCATTTTAACGTGTACGTAATGTAGAAGTTATGAATAAAACAGTCGTTTACTGTATTGTCCATCGGCCAGATTATGGTAATTGCGTAAACATAGGTTCTATCGACTGTCATCCTGATGAATGAGGAACATTAACGTTGTTCCTACCCACTGTAAATATGGAAGCTGATAGTCAGACAAAGAAGCCAGACAAATAAAAGCTATCTCAAACTGCAACACAACCATTGATTTCTTGTCTTTCATGGTATCACCAAAACTAGCCATGGTTAGCGTGTGTTTGGATCTCCAAGATAGGAGATGCTGACAGGATATGACGTCAACATCGGGCGATATCGGATGAGTTTTCTCGCTGGGTGGTCGTGATGTCCGTTGTTATAGCTGTTTCTTATTGGTGGATTTATTGCACGTTCTATATGGTGGTACATAATAACTCTCAAAACATAATAGAGAAATCTTGTAGTCATTTCAAACAAAAAATAAGATTATTATCTTTGTACTGATACAATATAAATTAATGGAACCGTATCAACTTTTCTATAATATATCATTTGTCTATAATATATAACTTGTACATAATTAATTACTTTTATGTAATACAATGCATTAAAATAATACAGAATCATGTCCGTCTATTGATTTTATTCTCTGAATGGTTTATATTCTGGAACATCAAAGGACTCTCGTCTTTATCAGCAGCTTTAGTAAGCCCGTGCATATCAATTTAGTGGGGACGTGAAACTATTAAGTTAGGGAGAAGCATGCAACTATAAAGAAATAGAAAGATCAATAGGAAAATCACACTATCCACATAGCTGAATTGTCATACATATTGATGATAAGCAATCACTGTTGGTCGTGTTAAAGGTCAAGCTAGATTGAAGGTAAGGAGAGTTTGTAGAATATCAACTAGGTTTCAACATTTCTTGTTATCTGAAGTGAACACGGTGTTTAGAAAAGTGGATGCTGAACCGAACGAATGTTGAAATTGATATCATTTTATAGCTGAACAGGATTGTGGTTCTATGGCTTCGCCTAATGTGTGTTAAAAGCCATGTTTACATGGATAGAGTGATGCAACTTCCTCCATGTACTGGATACAGGACTACTCCAAGCCTCCGATCGATTGTGGAGGTATCCACTTCATCAGTGATAATTTGAGAAGGATTTTACGATGACATGCTTTGTGTCACCAGCTATAACAGGAAACAGTAGAATTTAATCGATGTCTGTTGGGAACCTGACACAATGGCCCTATGACGCAGTAAAGAGGACCTGCTTTCCAGTCCGGGTATTTGATATTCCTGTCGTCCATTATCGGTCTCATGTTTGTCGGCAGCTAATTAATTGTCCAACTAATCGCATTGACACCTTCTCACGGCCGTTTTAACACTTCATACTCTCAAACAAAATCTATAATCCTATGGCTTCTCTGTTGGTAAATGTGCTGTCACCCATAGCATGAAATGATATCTTTGTTGTATAAAACGTCGCTTCTGATTGGCTAAGTCAAGCGGAATAATTCATAAAAAGGAAAGAGTTCGTTAAGAAATGTGTGAAAATAGTCTGCATTACATGTTAGGATTCTAATGGATTTAGTTTGCCTCCAGTCTGCTGCATTATTTACGTGCAGTTTGTATACGTGAATCGTTAAATAAACATCCCTGTAAACATCAATTCTGTTATTGATTGTGTTTTATACATGTCCATTTACGTTTTTATGCTGCCTCGATATTCACAGTCAATTTATAAATGTCCTGCTTGACAACTTCGTTGGTTGGATATCTCCTCTCAAATCTAACGATGATAATGTTACGCAATAGATACGAAAACGAGGCAGTTCAGTTTGTAAACACGAACACACAATGGCGGACAAAAATGCCAGAAACAGAAGTGACACAGGCAAAAAATACCGTTTTCATCACCGTATTTTGTTATGGGTGTGGTAAATGTTTTTATGATACTTCGAAGGGTAACATATCACTGTTTTATAGGACATGTAGGGTAACATATCACTGTTTATAGGAAATGCATGACTATCACTGTTTTATAGGACATGCAGGGTAACATATCACTGTTTTATAGGACATGCAGGGTAATATATCACTGCTTTATAGGACATGTAGGGTAACATATCACTGTTTTATAGGACATGCGGGGTAACATATCACTGTTTATAGGACATGCAGGGTAACATATCACTGTTTTATAGGACGTGTAGTGTAACATATCACTGTTTATAGGACATGCAGGGTAACATATCACTGTTTTATAGGACATGCAGGGTAACATATCACTGTTTTATAGGACATGCAGGGTATCATATCACTGTTTTATAGGACATGTAGGGTAACATATCACTGTTTATAGGACATGTAGGGTAACATATCACTGTTTATAGGGCATGAAGAGTAACATATCACTGTTTTATAGGACGTGCAGGGTAACATATCACTGTTTTATAGGACGTGCAGGGTAACATATCACTGTTTTATAGGACATGTAGGGTAACATATCACTGTTTTATAGGACATGTAGGGTAACATATCACTGTTTATAGGACATGTACATATCACTGTTTATAGGACATGTAGAGTAACATATCACTGTTTTATAGGACATGTAGGGTAACATATCACTGTTTATAGGACATGTACATATCACTGTTTATAGGACATGTAGAGTAACATATCACTGTTTTATAGGACATGTAGAGTAACGTATCACTGTTTTATAGGACGTGCAGGGTAACATATCACTGTTTTATAGGACATGTAGAGTAACATATCACTGTTTTATAGGACATGTAGGGTAACATATCACTGTTTTATAGGACATGTAGAGTAACGTATCACTGTTTTATAGGACATGTAGAGTAACATATCACTGTTTTATAGGACATGTAGGGTAACATATCACTGTTTATAGGACGTGTAGGGTAACATACCACTGTTTATAGGACATGTAGAGTAACATATCACTGTTTATAGGACATGAAGGGTAACATATCACTGTTTTATAGGACATGTAGGGTAACATATCACTGTTTATAGGACATGAAGGGTAACACATCACTGTTTTATAGGACATGAAGGGTAACATATCACTGTTTGATAGGACGTGTAGTGTAACATATCACTGTTTATAGGACGTGTAGGGTGACATATCACTGTTTATAGGACGTGTAGAGTAACGGATCTCTGTTTTATAGGACGTGAAGGGTAACATATCACTGTTTTACAGGAAGAGTAGGGTAACATATCACTGTTTTATAGGACGTTTAGGGTAACATATCGCTGTTTTATAGGACGTGTAGGGTAACATTACTTGGTACACAGGATATTTAGGCAAGTGTCACTGTGTAAATAGAACGTGAAAGTTAACTTTACTGTGTATGTAGACCATGTAGGGTAACATCACTTGGTATGAGGACATGTCGGGTAACATCACTCGAAAGTAAGCCATTTTGATATGGACATGTAAGGCATCATCGTTCTATGGATTAGGTTTCTAGTAACACTCCCAGCACCACGTCAGGGCCTACCTTTATTTACAAACGTTGGCCATTGATTGATTGTATTATAGTCTAACACTAAAATCGAACATGGTGTTAGCAGTGTATGGCAAGCAGTATCAATATTAGAT